AAAAAATTCTATTATCTGGAAACTTCAACATTTTATATTAATTAAAATTATAATAAAAAAAAAAAATCAATCTAATAATAGTAGATAATGATAAATTATGTAGCAGTTCACAAAAAAAAATCAGATTCTGAACATTTGTAGAATTTATAATTTTGTTTCTTGTTTAGTAATGAGGTTCCGGTTCCTTCAAAAGTCTATTTTCAACTCTATATTTCTAACACCTCTGTCTGAACTGTGAAATTTTATATGCTATTTAATAATTTTTTTTCCTCCTCAGTAAAAAGATAGGTTTGATTTATCGTCTGGTTAATTAAAAAAAAAAGTTTTTAGAACATTAAGAGGTTTCAGAAAACATTTCCTTTTTTAGGATTAGTTTTATGGTAATTTCTAAAATCTAAACAGATTATAAAATAACACTTGTCCTTTTTATGCTTTCCACATTAACCCTCTCCTTTGAATGGCTCTTGGGCCTTGTATAAGGTGAACATTAGTAAAAAAAAAAAAAAAAAAAAAAATTAGCAATGTCTATATTGCCATTTTATTATGAAAAATTTTCACTAATTAAAGGACAGGACAAATACATTGCATAATTTTTATCATTTTTTTGACACACTTGAGTGCAGGATGCATGCATTGTGTCCATATATTATGTTTACGATGTGAACTATGATGAAAGAGACAGATATTAATAATGGTATATAAAAATTTTAAATTGCATAAGGAGTTTTCTATTTTGAGAGTTTTTTTTGAAGGTGAAAAGGTTGAAACACTTACTATAATAACATTTTAAAAGTAATATATATCAATATTATTTTTTTTTTTTCATTTAATGATATTTTTTTAATTGCTTATCAGACACAAATATGAAAAAATTTATTAAAATAAACACTTGTCTATATTATTTAATGAAACACGCATCAATGAAAAAATGCTGCCTAAATATGTTAATTTAGTATATATATATATATATATATATATATATATATATATATTTTTACGTTACAAAAATTTTACAGACAAATATTTATTTTTTGTAATTTTTTTCATTATACATTATACATCAAACAGTTAAAACCCAACCTAAACAAAATCAATTATGGCATGTCTACAAATATTCTTAAATGTCTATAATTTCTATAATTGGTAACAGAAGCCATTGGTTTATACCAACGGCTTTCCTTATTTCATTCTACAATTCACGCTCGTGTAGTCATGTGTGACATCATGAGATGCGGTGCGACAAAAAAAAATTTTCTAGCGTCTTATATGCGCATGTTTTATCGTTTCTATTATTAGTATGAAACATGTAAACAATGACAGACTATCATCACTGTCGTGTCCGTATATTGTTTAATATGTTTGTGATTTAAATCTTTGATAATGGCTTTTAAGTAAGCCGAAAGCTTAGATTATATTAAAAATAATGGATAAATATTGTGAATTTTTTTTTTTCGTTTAATGATAATGTTATCAAACTTATCAGAAGATACGAAAAAAATTTTACATAAAATAAATAGACAACACTTGTCTATATTATTTAATGAAACGTGTATAAATGAAAATATTTTGCCTAAATACACACAATATATATATATATATATATATATATATATATATATATATATATATATATATATATATATATATATATATATATATATATATATATATATATATATATATATATATATATATATATAAAAAAAGTATAGGATTATTGTATACAAACAAAGAAAATATGTAAAATTTGAAAGGGATATATTTGTTTTACAAAGAAAAAAATAAATACCATGCCTACTCTATTTGTTTAGGACAATCTAGAAGGTAGCTGTAAATGGACTGGTCCTCAAATAATTAAAAATTTAAGCAATAGAACAATTTTTCCCAAAAACAAGGGAATTCAGTCTGTATTTATCTGACACATCAGCCAATCATATTTTGTGAAACAAAACAGGTATATGCAATTTTTGTATCAAAAATGAAAATTTCAATATTAACAAATATTATTCTTAAAAAGAGTGCTCAATATTTTATACTGATCAAATACAATCATTTATTCAAAAATTATCTTTAAAGTGATTTTATAACATTTTGTTTATGTTATTTTATGAATAAATGATTATATATATATATATATATATATATATATATACATAAACATATATTGTTAAATATAACAGACAACAAATGTCTATTATGTTTGATCATGAGCCGTTCTAAATTCTTATAGTGGTTTTAGTTTCAGAAAATAAAGACAAAAATTGTCCAACATTTGGATATTTTTTTATTATGCTGTTCCACAAATCTTTATAAAAACATGATCCATCTTCAGAGTATTTTTTATATATATATATATATACATTACAAAAAAAGATTTTACCATCAAAGATGATATATATTATGTTTACATAGAAGTTTGCATATATCAACGATCATGGAATAGCAGATTAAGGTCATTTTTCGAAATTCATAATTTTGTTCTATGATATAAAACATGAAACGTGAGAGAAAGAAATTTTATCAACAGTTCTATGTTTTTAGATGCAATGTAATATATGCTGTCACTGGTTTGAAATGTAATTTTGTTGAGTGTGGGTTGCTTTCTTTAAATGTAGATGGTCTGTTTTGCAATATTTTAAGGTTCTTTTTACTGGTGTGTGTATGTTTGAATATTGTTGTGTTATCAAGTAATATCTGTCATAATATTATATATATATGTTTGATAAATATAATATATTTTATTATATGTAATATGACTATGTGTTATTGTGTACAAAATATATACTATTATGTGTTATCTGTCTAATATTTGTACATGGATATATGTTTAAAAATATAATAATGTTAAATTATATTACATGGCATATATGTTATCATATATATTATACAATTTTGAATATGATAAACAAATATAATAATATGTAAATGGCTATGTGTTACATCACATAAAATTGTCTAATATTATGTACATGGATAAAATTTAAATTTGACTAGTTTCTAATATTATGTAATGGCTATGTGCTTTGTTTTAATATTATACATGTCTATTTTTATCTTTAATATGTAAAAATATATTATGTTATCAATATGTGTTATCTGTCTAATATTATGTACATGGCTATTTTTACTAAGAAATGTTGTTTAATGGAACTAAGATCAGAACAGGTGACAGATAAGTCTATTATTTATATGATTGTAGTAAAACCAATATATGTAGCGGGTTTATTATTAGTATCAGAGATACAATCTCTGAACTGGCATGTAAATTGATACACTTCATTGTTTTTTGTAGAGGATTTAGTTTGTGGTTGTGCAGGATGTATTTTTTAAGATGATTTAATTGTTTAAATTTTTATAATATATGATGAGCTTAACTTGTTTATTATTATTAATGGGTTTAACATTTCTACCTATTATGTTTTTGAGTGTTGTTTCATAATGTAACTATTATGCATTTAGTATAGTATAAGTTAATAGTATTATGTTTATTTTGATGTATACTATTATGGTTACAATTATTATTAATATTATCAATTTTGTTAATAGTATTATTATGTTTATTGAAATACATTTTAATTTGTTGATAAATGATGAAATTAGGGAATCCATTATTAATAGTGTTTGACTGATATTATGTAATTCTTTATAGAATATGGCTTTGGAAGAAGATATCATTTATATATATTGGATTAAGTTTTTTATCACAGCTAACTTATATTGTTGGGGCATTCACTATTATAATTAAGAAGACACAAGTTAATGCTAGTGGGTTTTCTATATAGAGAAGTAGTAAATTTATGTGTGCTGAAATCAATAAGTACATCAAGGAATGGAATTTTATTATTAATATTGAGTTCTCATGTAAATTTGAGGATGGGGTGACTTCCAAATTTTTTTTCTGAAATTCAATTTGATCAATATTTTTAGCTAAAATGAAAATGTCATGTATGTCTCTTACGATATAAAAGTCTTCAAAATATCATTGGGGCAATATATGTGATTTAAATATTTTTTTTTATAATGGGATTCAATAATAATGTGATATTTATTTTATAAAATCTATATAGTATAAAATAGTTTATGAACCCGTATAATATATATGGGTTCTTGATTAACCTCCTTTTTTTGGAAAAAATCCCTATAAGATGTTGGAAAAAGGGGTTCAGATATCTTAATGAGACAGAGAGTTGAAAATCAGTCTGTTCATAAAGAACGGCTGTCTCTATATTATATGGGGGGTTTATTTTCATTAATATATTTTTTTTCTAAAATGTTAAATATAATTATTAGGAAAAAAGCAAAGGACCTAAGAGAGATCCCAAAGAAAATACCATCTATAAAGTATAAATATTAAAAATATTTAATGTCCATATAACCATAGTTCTGATGATGGTTCATAAATTTACAATTCCATTTAGAAAAAGGAACAGTATAATAAAAAAAAAAATAAAATTTTGGATTTTTTTTTTGTCTTTATTTTTTCCCAAAAACTAAAAACCATTATAATAAAAGAATGAACAGTCTTATGATCAAACAAATAATAGACATTCATTGTCTGTTATATTTAACAATATATGTTTGAATAATGATCTGCTAAATCAATATTTAAATATATATATATATATATATATATATATATATATATATATATATATATATAGACAATAGATAGATAGATAGATAGATAGATAGATATAGATATAGAAAGAATTTTTAATTAACAATATCATGAAATAGTTTGGTACACACTGTTGTTTCATTATGAATGATTACCTTTTTTCTTTTATTTTCAGGTCATATTTTTGAGGAAGTAATATTTCATTTTAAAAATTAAGATATGTCTGTCATAAAATGTCTTAAATTAATTACAATAATTATATATTCACAATAAAATTTAACAATTTGTCTTTTAAATGCTGCGACCCAAGACTATCTACGCTGCTATTTAATCCATAGCTGGGGAATTTAATGTTAAATTCAAAAGCAACAAATAAACCTACCTCTTCTTTCTTTTGAAGAAATGGACAGACCTGCCGTGCTTCATCAGCCAAACAGACGTCTTGTGTAGCATAACCACTGACAACATAGGCATCGTAGCCAGCTCCCAAAAGAAGTGAACATAGTAACATACTATATTCAAAACAGTTTCCCTTCTGCCTTTTTAAAACCGTGGAAGGAGATAAAATACGATCAGGCTGGAAAGAAAAAAACAGAAAATTATATAAAGAGTTTGCAGAAGTTTTGACAGTAGCAAAATAGTTTATTTAATTTAACTTAATAAAAAAACAACTGGCTGAAATAGTTGCATATTACACAATGATGTCAGCAGTAGTGATTCAAGATCAGGTGAAACTTCAGTATTTCAAATGTTGATTTCCAGTTATACCTGGAAGATTAATGCAATACAACCTACCAATTTCTGATTTTCTACTGTATCATTTTAGCTGAGCAAATATTTATTAAAATTTACAAAGAGCAATAAATGGCAGGCTATTTTCTATTAATGTGATCCTGAATTAGTGGCCTTGTGCCAGACTAGGCTAAAGTTAGTATTTACTACAATTTACCAAATAGCAATGAATGGCAGATTATTTTCAATTAATGTGATCCTGACACAGTGGACCTGGGCCAGACTAAGCTAAACTTAATATCTACTACATTTTAGCAATGAGCAATGAATGGTAGGTTATTTTTCAATAAATGTAATCTTGAATGAGTGGCCTTGTGCACCCATAGAAAAGGGGGGAATGTGGCACAGGGAACTAGAACAGTCTACCCCAGTGAGCGAAATAAAGTGTTCAGTTTGACATTCCAACCACCTGAAAAAGGCCAGAGCGTACAACGGCTAGAACGGTTGTAATAAATATGGCGACAAAGATGAGGACAATAGTCCGAATAATATAAATAGTGTATATAATACCTCATCACAGAAATATAGACAGATAATGGATGAATGCACTCATTTTAAATCTCCTAATTCCCCCTTTTCTATGGGACCAATAAATACAATAAAATATAATTTGCATATATAATTATTTCTTTTATTTTTTTTATTATCATTTTTTCATCATCATTTTTCTTTTAAGTTTTTCATTTTTTTTTTAATGTTTCATAACTTTTTTATCCTAGTACTTTTTCTCTCTCTTGTTATTCAGTTATATAAAAACCAAAATATGAAATATTGCCTTGTTGAAATTCATTTAATTTTCTTAGAACCCGCCATTTACATGTGCAAAATATTGTTGCCACTGCTTTTAATTTAACTAGAAACAGTGCTGCAACACATGTTAGACATAGACATTATGATTTATTCCTCAGTAAACTGTAGTTCAGCAAATTACAGCAAATTCTATTTTGTTTAATAATGCTATTCATTGTAAAAAGTCTCACCAGTTCAAAGGTTGGTTCCAGCATCTCACATACAAGATAATCAGCCACAAAACTGGCAGCAGCATCCCACTCATAGATTTCTGGAAATGGTAACACTGTGGGGCGGATAGTGGTGCACACAAACTTCTGCAAGAAGAAAGTATCAATTAATTACAGAAAATTTTCTTGAACAAAATAATATAATAAAATAAAATAATCGTTTTGTATTTTCACTGGGATGTTATCCCATCTTTGATCTGATAGGTCCAACAAAGTAAAACTGGCAGCTGCTCTTGAAAATTACCTCTAATCTGTTAACTGGGGCAAGAAATGGCTTGTGAATTTAAATACCCCCAATATGAAACTTTTATCCTTTAATCATCATAGAGAAACATTTTTCTTCTCCTTCTCATGGCTGATGCTAACCTCCAGAAGAGCAACTCATTGCACCTTCTTGGTTTCACATTTTACACTGACATAAAATGGTACAATTATATTAAATCAACTGCTAGGTCTGCTCCTAAGGAAGTTGGTTCACTGTGTCGTGCCAGACAATTTTTTTCATTGGAATTCATGTTGCACAAATATGAATCTACCATTCATCTGTGCTTTGAATACTGCTGCCATATCTGGTCTGGTGCTCTGGCTATATATCTTGAGATTCTCAACAAAATCCAAAGAAGGTTATAATGTTATCAATCCTTACCTAGCATCTTGACTCCAGTTACCCATTGCCATGACATGGCTTCACTCTGTCTTTTCTATAAATATTTTCAAGTGTTATAATGAGCTGTCCTACTAGGTACCTCAACTACATGTCTTTAAGTGTACTATTAGATTGGCTACTAGGTTTCACTTCTCGCCTGTGGAACTCTCTTTTGATTTCTTGCTTCACTGCCACCTACAATTTTCCAAGATTTTAATGCAATGTAAATCATTTGTCTTCCTGAATCTTATTGTCCCTCACTAAAGTCTTCTCACTAAAGTCTTCCCTCACTAAAGTCTTCTCATTTTCTTTCACTTCTGGTAATCCCTTGCATCTTAGCAGCTTTATAGCCTTGTTTGGGGTGAAATAGTTAAAAAAAAAAATTAAAATTAAAATTACGCATGTTAATCATCTCTAATGAAAAGATATCACTAATGAGTGCTGTTTAAATCGAATTTCTGAAAATTGAATTTATGCTTTCAATCAAGAAAATCAAAATCAATAAAGGAGTTTTTAGTTTGTATCAAAATTCAAGAAAAATAATTATAAACAGGATATAAATTCACAGAGATTTGATGTGAAAAATGATAAAATTTTGTGTTTTGAAATCTTTGATTCCATATAAACTCTTTAAAGTAATCATCTATCATATCAAGATTCTTCGGTCCATGCATTGATTTTTTTTTATTTGCATCTTTATAACAAAGCTTTTACCCAATCAGAAAAATATTGTACTTGAGCTATACAAACACAGATGTGAAGAGATGGGCACAGTTGTTTAAGTATTCTATACTATATCAACTAATAACAACTTTTAAATAACATATGAGAATTATTTAATAAAGCTTATATATATCAGGTCATCCCATAAGTTCTGTCCGAATTTTAACTTTTTTTAAAATGAACAAAATTTAAAGAGTATTTTATAATTCCTAATGGAGCTGAACATTATTTTTATGTTTAGATGCATTTAAACTGATCAAATTTTATTTCAGAGAACAATAAAATTAAATTTTGTTTGATTAAAACCCTGCTAACATGGAAGTACCCAAGAATCATTTGACATACATAATGCTTTATGAGTTCAAGAAAGGAAACTCAGCAGCCGAAGCGGCTAGAAACATTCACCTAGTTTATGGAGAGGAATGTGTGAATGAAAGAACTTGCAGAAGATGGTTTGCAAAATTCAGAGGTGGAGATTTCACCCTTGAAGATGAAGATCGAACCGGACGTCCATTTGAGTTTGATGAAAAGCTTCTTGAAGCAGCCCTTTAAGATAATCCTGCATTATCACTTGAGGAATTGGCAGTGGTTCTCAGTTCATACCATACAACTGTTCATCGTCATCTTCAACAACTTGGAAAAGTTCCTAAACTTGGAAAATGGGTGCCTCATGAATTGTCTGAAAACAACCTTACATCCTGAGTTACCATCTGCTCTTCTCTCCATTCTCGCCAAATGGTTTCACCTTTTTTTGGATAGACTTGTGACTGGCGACGAAAAATGGATCTTTTATGGAAATGTTAAGCGTCGTAGACAGTGGCTTGGTAAAGGGGAAGGACCCCAGCCACAGCCGAGAAGGGAACTTCATGGGCAAAATGTTCTTCTTTCAATCTGGTGGGATCACCAAGGAATAATCCACTTTGAATTCTTACCACCTAATGCAACAATTAATGCTCAAATATACTGTCAGCAATTAGAGCGTTTGAACCAAGCTTTGAGGAAAAAAAGACCTGCTCTAGTGAATCGAAAAGAGGTGATGTTTCATCAGGACAATGCGCGACCCCACACAGCAAGAATCACGTCACAAAAGATCGAAGAACTTGGTTGGGAGAAAATTCCTCATCCACCTTATTCTCCCGATCTTGCTCCTTCAGACTACCATTTGTTTCGTAGCTTACAGAATCATTTGGAAAAAACAGCTTTTGTAACACAGGAAGAGGTTAAAACTGACATTTGTGAGTTCTTCGAATCAAAGCCAAAAGAATTTTTACAGTAATGGAATTAGTAAGCTTGTTAATAGATGGAAGGAAGTCATAGATAATCAGGGAAAATACATTGTTTATTGAATCTGTAATTAAATGTAACATTTGGTCACTTGTTTTCTTTATTCAAAATTCGGACAGAACTTATGGGATGACCTGATACATAAGATGTTGTAGACTATACTGATCACATAGGTATTCATAATTGGAATGAGAATGATCTTAAACAAAAAAGCAACATCCTCTACCAAGTGTTTCAAGAAATATGACTCAAATAAACCTTTCTAAAACAAAAACTATAACCTGGAATTGGAATGAAAGCACTTAATCCATCATAAAAATTCAGAATATGGAATTAGTAAATACTAAACACTTTAAGTGAATAATGTATGTGGTATGGTGTATAACAAATATATAAAAATTTAAGGATCATTGAATATAGTAAATACATTGAGCATGCTTATTGTTTTGTGAACACCAAGTTGCATGAAAAAATAAAGCATTAATAAAAACTTTTATTCATGTATCTTAATCTAGCTTTGTCAGATGGAATTTTTTTTTTATGGATCTGTAATGATGCCAAACTTATTCAGATAATTTAAATTTCGCTGTATAAAACATTTATTAAGATCAATGGTTAAAATTGTTTTGTTTGACGCAGGTTCAGGCTATTTCTTGAAAGAAAAACCATTTATTTTCTTCAAAAATTATTGACTGGTTTTTGCAGTTCAACTCCAAAAACATTACCAAATAGTCATAAAACTCTAAATCATTTGAGGACCCCTACCAGAACCTCTAACAAAGACTCCTATTTGAGCAAATGAATCCTGTAGGTGTTAATGAGGACCATCAAATTCCTTGAACAGAGATTTGGACAGATATTTAAATATTACTAAAAAGAACTGCACCAAATAGAAGAAACCACATTACTTCAGGAAGATAAATGTATTCTAATTTTTGAAACAGCCTGTTGCCTAGAAGTGTTGAGTGAAATACTTTTACGAATTATATATATATATATATATATATATATATATATATATATATATATATATATATATATATATATATATATAAACATAGAACTTAAAAATCTTGGAAGTTTCTTCATTTGATAAAGTTATTTTGTTTTGCAAGATTTACTTGTGGGTCTTATTCTCAGAATATCAAGATGGAAGCCAGAGTATGAATGTTGGTACCATTACTGAAGGCCTAAACAATCTTTTCCCTCTCACCATTGCTCAGTTGGGAAGCCATATTGGGGCTGACACAAAATGATTTTAAACTGTTCTCTTTCTAGCTGAATAACTCAAAAGGTTTTTCAGTGACTCTTAGAACAAATGGTGTCAAGAAGGCTACCAGTAAAATTCTGACTGTAAGCTGTGAAGGCTATCTGAAAACCTGGGAGAAGGAAACTATTAGTTTTGTGTTTTTTTTTTAGATATTAAACATGAAGAAGGGATTGACAAATATTCAAATATTCCATGCTGGACAATTTTTTGTTACATGCCTGATATATATATATATATATATATATATATATATATATATATATAGTTATTTATTTAAAAAATATGATTCCATCTTTCCTATTTTTATATATATATATATATATATATATATATATATATATATATATATATATATATATATAAACTATATATATATATATATGTATAGTTTTTATTATTTTGTTTTTATTTTTATATATATATATATATATATATATATATATACGTTTTTTTTGTAATATGGAAATTCATTTCATTTAAATTCAGATTGCTTTCATTTGACATTGCCATGGATTACATATTTACCAAAAAGCCATATGGATTACTTTCAAAATTTTTGAAAAAATATTTTATAATATAAAATATATCAAAATATATAATATATTTAAAGCTTGGATACAAATTTTTTTGTGATATTGGACTAGGAAATCAAGTTTAAATTTATAGAAAAGAAAAATTCTATGTATTAATTATTCGATTTTATAAAAAGTAGAAGATTTTTAATGTTAAAATTGTGTTCCATTTGCCAGTCTGAATAACCAATGTGTTTTGTGTTGTTATTAAAAAATCTCCTTTGTGTTCATATAGTTTTTTTTGAATTTGAATATTATAAAAAAAAAAAATACAATACCATCAGACAATAACAAAAAAATTAGACTAATTATTTATTACAAAAAATTTTAAAATGCCATATTTTATAGTTAAAATAATAAATTCACCTCTTAGAATTTTTAAATAGAACAAATATTATTTAAATTTTAAATATTTAACCTATAATTGTAAATATGATCAATCAAAATATTAAATAATTATATATATATTATATTACAGCATGTTTGACATAAAGTCTCACATTACATCTTTCTATCATAGCTCAATTAGGTCTCATATAAATTTCATAGAGACCTACTGGACCCTTTCATAGCATTCTTGTTGAAAACATAAATATAATATATATCATCTACATAAAAAATTAAAAATAAATAAATATTATAATATTAAAAAAACAAAAAAAAAAATTAACACAATCTTTCATCGACTTTTGAGAAGTGGAAGGAATATGAAGATAGGGTAGAAATAAATTTAAAAAGAAGTATTTTAAAAAACTAAGATGTCATTCCCCTTGGATGGTTTTTTTCATTAATATTTAAATAGATGGATAATTTTAAGCATTTTTTGTCAAATATATATAATAAAATGTTAATATTGGCCATTTTCATACAAGGAAACATCAGCATTCATTGACCAAACATTTTTTTTTAGTAAACCAAAATTAATAAAAATTTTTTTCTCAAACAGTGTTATTTTCTTCAACAAAACAAGATCTTCTTCTGAATCATGCTATATAATTTCCACCACTGGCCCTGTTGTGAACACCCAAAAACCAAGACTGAACTGAAATTCCATCAATTGAGCATAGAATTCTGCAATAGCTTCCATTTTGATCACACATTTAAAAAAATATTTTTTTAAGCAAACAACATCCATAAATTTTTTCCAGTAGCACCAACTTCTGCCTAAAAAAAAAAAAAAACAAAATATTGTGAGCTGATCTTGATATATAATAAAGGAAGGACATAAATACCCATCATCTATGACATTTTCAGCAGTCAGACAATCAATTTGGTCCAGATTATAAATGCTGCGTCAAAAGGCAGTAGGTTGGTTTCATCTCCAAAGAACAACACACCAAAGGCAGCCACCACAGTAAGTCATAACTCACTCTCCCTCTCCTACTGTACACCTCTGCAGGCACCTTTTACAACTCCACTCATCTGCTTCTATTCAATGAGAGACATTTACACTAATTTATCATTTTTGTATTTTACGTTAATACAATTGTTTATTTCTTTAAACCTCCATTGTTTCTTCCTTGTTCTGCACCATTTATTTAATATAACAACAGTTTTAAAGAAAAATACTCTTTTCAAGTCTACTATTATTGCTCTTACTACTACTGGTGGGAGTTTCCTTCCCAACCTTTTGTTTAAGGTAGTGTGATAGGTCAACATCTAGATTATATCATTATTTTTCCTGTGTTATCCATTTTTGGTGTTTCTGTTGTTGGAAGTTGAATTTCATTTATAAAAAAAAATAGCATTACCTTCTGGAGGTATCAAGTATGGATTTGACCCAATATAACAGGCAAATGAGTCTCATTTATAAAACCCCACAAATTCATGGAAACCTGTGATTTTAAATCAAGTCAAAGTAATAGATGACAAAGTCCACACCCCCAGCTTCATTTGGAATTGAATCCAGTCATGATTAATTGATATTTACCTCAATACCACATTCATTGGTTGGAGATAGCAAAAAATAATTTTCTGTCTTGATACAAGTGGACATATTTTATCAACGTAATTTTCTCAGCATATTATTCAAAACTAATTGATTTTTGGATGATTTTAAATCTTTTAGAGGAAAGTCTGCAATGTTGAAGTCCTCCAATTTTCTGCAAGACAACAACAACAACAAAAAAAATGATTCAGTTCCATGATCTGACAGTTTCATGCAAGACAATTCTATGCTGATAATTCAGAATAGATCAATTCTATTTAAAGACAATTCAAGTAGTTGTTTAATGTATCTAAACAATATAAAATTTGTTATAACTACTTCTAAAACTAAAAGATTTCATTAATACAAAGCAAACCAATAACCTTAAACCTGAAGTAAGAGTTTATTTTCATCGTTAATAAACAGATTGCAATAAAAGTCACAATCTTTTCTTCTTAGATCAACACTTTAAAAAAAATTTAAATAAAAGAATATATAAACACAAGATCTTTTACAAAAAAAAAAAAAAATGATACTCATCCTGGGTATGATGATAAACTACATCCATGTCCTGGAAAAAGAACAATAAAACTTTAGTCTGAAAATAGCAATGCTTCTGATCAGGAATTTATAGCTGTTGGAACCACCTCTTAATTGGTGGTAGTTCAAAGGTTTCAATATTGATCTGGGGTAGTAGCATGTTAGGGTTCCAGTTATGGGCAAATAGTTAATGTTATGGTGACCTATCTACATTAGAATGAACTCTTCTCCTTCATAAAACTAACCTGCAAGACTTCCTAAGAGGCAGTTGGGACACAGTTTAATATTGGCAGTTCAGATGGGCACTTCTAAAACCATGACTAATAACACTCTTATTTTGTATATATGTTCTGTTATTTCAATACACTTGTTGGTAGTAACCTTCTTCTTTCCATGTCTAACAGGCCACAACAGTTAATACAAACTTTGTGTCAAATTACTAAAAAATTGTAAAAAATAACAATTTAATTCCAGAAAATATTTTGTAGAAAAAAAAAATAACCAACCATAACAATAATTTTCAAACAAATAATTATTTTTAGCAATAGCTTAAAAAAAATACCAGCAATACAAACAGCTATACATTTTTTTTAAAACATATTACCAGCTATAGATTCTTTGAAGGAAAAATATTCTCAGAAATAAATTTTTAAAGAAAAAGATATTCCCAGAAATAGATTTTTGAAGAAAAACATATTACTAGCAATACATTTTTAAAAAAAAAAATATTACCAGCAAAAAAAATTTTGTTGGCATTAAATAATCCATTGAGGTTGATATGCCGTAAAACAAACCAAACCAAACAAAATGATACACTCAATGCATTAGTCATTCATCATACGGAGTATGACCAAAATTTAAACTTAAAGAATAAATGGTATAATAGCCTAATGGATTAAAGCATTGAATGAATTTGGTGGCATAATAATTGTGAGTTCAATCCCTGTGCTGGGCAGTGTGTACTTGGACTGAGTGGAAACAGAGTGAACAATAACTTAGTACTAAAAAATAAGAACTAGATGAGATATCCATAGATATATGGAATAAGAACAGTATACACCCATTGATTAAATAATGGGTTTGAGTTCCCTGAGGGTTACCCAAATTGACATACACCTGATGAAGGCCAGAGAGTACAACAGCCGAAACATTGTGATATAACAACAACAAAAATGAGGACAATAGTATGAATGTAAATAACGTATATAATGAGTAAAGACAATTAAAAACAATATTAGTATGAGTTATAAATAATTTCTATTTTGGTTTATCAACTTTATTTTTCTCAAAATAAAGTACAATTACATTTGGTTCAATTATAAAATCAATATTATACACAACGACCTGTTGCCACTTATTAATCTTCTCTTCAATACATTTTGAGTAAAATTCTGCAGGTTTTGTCATGAAAAAGTTTTCAATGGACTCTTGAATCTGGTTTTCATTAGAGAAAATTTTCCCCATCAATTCTTTTTTCAGCGATCAAAAAGGGTAATAATTGGTTGTTGAAAGGTTATGTGTATAGAACGAGTGCGATAGAACAGACCAAATGCGTATCCCTATTTATTTCCTGTGTTATTCTTGTCATATCCAGCCATGGAGGAGAACACCATTTTTTGTTTAATCCACTGTGTATGCTGCCACTACCACATAAAAACTGAGATACAGGGTGTTCCAAATGTCACCAATTTATTTCTTCTTTTTTCTTATTAACTGTCGCATATGGATTTCAGTGTTTCACTTTCTGTTCACTGTTAAAACAATTCCCAGATATTTAAATTGTTGTACTTGGTTGATTTTGGTATCTCCATTTTGTAATTTGCATGTTCAGCTGTTCCTTTTGCAAACAACCATGCATTCTATCTTCTTGCAATTGATACTTAGTCCTTTCTTCTAGCTTTCCTTCACTACATTCTCTAGGAGTTTTTTGTAGTTTATCTTTCTTAAACAGAACCAATGCTATTACATTGTGGGATATTTAAAAATAACAGCAGTAAAAAAAAAATGAAAGCCATAAGAAAATGAATATTTCCTAGGCTGTACATCTAGACACATCAGATGCCAAAAATTTTAAATTTTAATTTAAAATTAAGTATGCCTGCATCTTTGGTGTTTCTCTCAATATTTAATTATAACTGATATTTGTTTATATTTTCATTTTCAAAAAGGGTATTAAGTAGTTGGTGAAAGGTTATGTGAATAGGACGAGTGCGATAGAACAAACCAAATGAGTATCCCTATTTCTTTCTCTGTTATTCTGGTCATATCTGGCCATGGAGGAGAACACTATTTTTCATTTAATCCACTGTGTATGCTGCCATTACTACACAAAAACCGAGATACACAGTGTTCCAAATGTCACCGACGTATTTTTCATATATTTATTTCTTCTTTTTTTATTAACTGTCACATATGGATTTCAGTGTTGGACTTTCCACCCTCTGTTAAAACACTTCCCAGATATTTAAATTGTTGTACTTGTTTGATTTTGATATTCCCAAATTGTAATTTGCATGTTGGGCTGTTCTTTTTGCTAAGAGCCATGCATTCTATCTTCTTGCAATTGATAGTCCTTTCTTCTAGCTTTCCTTCACTACATTATGTAGGAGTTTTTTATAGTTTATCTTCCTTAAACAGAACCAGTGCTATTACATTATGGGATATTTCAAAACAGCAGCAATAAAAAAAATGAAAGCAATAAGATAGTGAATAATGTTTCCTAGGCTGTACATCTAGACACATCAGTTGCCAAAAATTTTAAATTTTAATTTAAAATTAAGCATCCCTGCATCTTCAGTTTTTCTCTCAATATTTAATTATAAGTGATCTTTGTTTATATTTTCATTCCTTCCTCTATCAATAAAAACATCATTTAGTCTGAAGAAGTCCTTTTGAAGGACGAAACATATTACATAATGTTTTTTCCATTTTGTCATTTAATGACAGTTCAATAATGAATTTTTAGGTACATCACCAAGATGCCTACCTTTTTAAAAAGTTCCTATATTATTGCCATCACATTCCCAGAAGTCAATTAGAATTTTTTTTAAGAAAATACACAATTTATCTGATAGATACAGAAAGTTTATAGAAAGCCACATTTTCCTTAAAGTTCTTTTTAATGTAAACTAAAATGCCAAAAAAGTATCAGTGGCAGAACATAGATGTCCTCCATTTGTAAAAATGAACTTAACCTTGTGTCAGACTAAACAATGCTTAAACAACCTAATCAATTTGTTCCAATGGTAACATTTATACATTCAGAAAAGAAAGAAAAAAGTGAATTTTACAATTAAAATAAATTTACATTGAAGGAAATGGTATCTGTCTATATTTCTGTGATGAGATATTGTGTACACTATTTACATTATTATTCAGACTATTGTCCTCATCTTTGTCACCACATTTATTACAATTTTGAATGATTCAGAATACTTATGCTAGGCCACAAAAATCTCCTGAGCTGACCAAATATAGAAATGAATACAGTATGGGAACCAGTAATAAATTTTGTTCAGAGAAAAAGCAAAATAATCAAACAAAAATTGCAATATGAGCTCTGGTAAAAATTCAAAATGATAACAGTAAAATTGCAATATGAGCACTGGTAAAAAAAAGGTTGTTGAAGACATTTTTTTTAATACCCAGAAATTCATACATGGTTGTCCTCAAGTCACAGTGGATAAAGGCATTGGTTAGATCCAGTGACAGTGTGAGTTCAATACCTGGTTAAGGCAGTGGAGAACTTGGAGAGGGGAATTAACAGGCGATAACTGATAACTGACATCCATTAAACATTGGCATGTCTACCCCAGTGAGTTGAAATAAAGGGTTCAGTTCGACATTCCAATATAATTTGAAGAAGAAATGTTCATCAACAACAGCGTAAATGTAATAAATATGGCAACAAAGATGAGGACAATAATCTGAATAATAATGTAAATAGAAGGAAACAGAATTATTAAAAAACAGTACAGATAAGAAAATGTAGTAAACACATTTTCAGTATTCCCCACAAAATGACTGAATTTAATTTTATAATGTTTTTACAATAGAACAAAAGTTGCAAATATAATATCTCAAAACAACATTACCTGTAAATATTGCAGCTTTGGGAATAATATCAAAAGAAACAAACAAATATATGGATCAAATTTTTGGTCAACCTAAAATATATATTCATGATTACTTCTCCCATCTTGTATAGGTTTCTCTCCATGTAGTGACCACAATTACATATTTGTTTCTCTCTAATTGCATGACACCTCATCTGTTTGCATCTTTTTATAAAAAAAATTGTTGTTGGAGGGTAACTCATACTACACAAAGCAAAGTCAAAACACTAATAATAATAATGAAAACTCCATTCTTGGATCCTGATTACAGCACTCAACACATGGGGAGTGACTGCAGTTAGATACAGTGCTGCAACTTTAAACTGGACAAAGCTGAAAATTGCCAAACTTGATAGGAAGACCTGTAAAATGCTCACCATGCATGGTCTAACATCAGCAAACTTTACATGAAAA